CACGGCTAACTCACAGATTGAACCCTGAAACAACCTCTGGGCTGATCTAAGTCAGGGCTCGGCTAACTCACAGATTGAACCCTGAAACAACCTCTTGGCTGATCTAAGTCAGAGCACAGCTAACTCAAAGATTGAGCCCTGAAAAAGCCTACTTTGATTCCAGTCATTAATATTATTTATTTATTTTTGCAGAACCTCCACAATTTATCGTCAAACCTCAACCCCGAGGTATAGCAGAGGCAGGAAAGACAATCAAACTGCACTGCTCAGCCACCGGTTCACCACCACCAAGAATTACCTGGTTAAAAGATGGACAAGTCTTGAACAGGAATAGTAGGATCATGCTGATGCACAGTGGACAGAATAGAGATTTGACTATTTCAAGATTATCGGAGCGAGATGCCGGAGTTTATCAGTGCTTTGCTGAGAATGACTTGGGGAGTACGCAGTCCAGTACCAGAGTGATTGTTAGAAGAGCTGGTAAGTTGGGTATATGTGATCGTAGTGACGTGAGGGCACTTGCCTCACCAATGCAACCTGGGTTCCAATTCCACTGGGCTCAGATCCTTATGTTGGTAGAGTTGCTTGTTGGTTCCCGCTTTCAAAGGTTTATTTAAATTGCAAACTGTGCATTTCGTTGGAAAAATACTTTTGATAGCTCTGCCCACCAACATCAGCATGCACTTAAATATATATATGTTATTTACCAGCCAGGAGGTCTGGATAGGGAGAAACTGTGCCCGAGGTCTTGAATATATGGACCGATGCAGTGGGGCCAAGGTCCGTTATCAAGACCGAGGGCACAGTTTTTCCCTATCCGGGCTGACTATAGGACGGTAAATAACTTATTTATTTTTTTCCCATATCTTTTTACTTGTTTTTGTAATTGTTTTGTTTTGTTGTTTAGCGGCAAAGCATGCCAACCAGCACAGGCAGATGCTGACAAAATACCGCCCACTCAAACAGCCAATCAGAACGCATGATTTTTTAGGATACCCGACCAGAAAAAATAAAAATATATATTTCAATTTTTCTTCATTTTTCTCTTTGTGATTTTATGAAACATGGCTTTAAAATGCTTCTAAATTGCTTTTCTATGCTCTGTTATCAAACTGCTGCTAAGGAATGTGTAGACGACAATTTGGATGTTTTGAAGCATAAATGTGAATGTTTGTGGGTGGAGCTACCATATTTATTTGTCCGACAAAACCACGGTTTGGTGGCTATACCTAGTAAATGACAAACAGTTTTTACATTTTTAGTTACAAATCCTTGGCCCCCAAGGAACGTGACAGCTATAGCTCGTACAGATTCAGAGATCATTGTCGCCTGGCTCCCTCCYCTTGGAGACAACCGTGTCCTCGCTTACTCTATCAACTATCAACCAGAAGACAAAAGTACACGAGAGTTCCAAGTCGTTCGACAGGGGGTCAGCTGCAGCATTAAAGATCTACGAGGATACACAAAGTATACTGTGTACGTGAAGCCTTTCTTTCGGAATGGTAGTGGAGCTAGGTCTGCAACTGTCACTGTTAGCACCCTAGAAGGGAGTAAGTATGATCTTTAAATTTTTATTTTCAACCATGAATTTTTATTTATTTGTTTATTTATTTATTTATTTATTTATTTATTTATTTATTTATTTATTTATTTATTTATTTATTTATTGATTTAATTATTTATATATTTATTCATTCATTTATTTAATTAATTATTTATTTATTGATATTTTTTGAAAACTAATACTTGCCCTGTTGAAGGTCTCAACAACATTTGAAATAGGCATTTACCTTTTTCCTTTTCATTTACATTTACTGCTACTTGCTACACGCTGAAATTTAGTTTTTCGCTGTGAACYTTAAAATAAAGGATTCTACTTTAAATAGATTAAAAAAAGTCAGATATAATTTAGGGAAATGTGGTAGCTCCTTACTCAGTCTAGTTGATGACTCTAATCCTTAGTTGGGGATAGGCAATAAGTGTCTGCTATTTAGTTTATTGCTTATGTAATTTCACAAAATTGATTTATATGGAAATTAATAAAAGATCGACAAATTCTATTTTGACTAGAGTGCTTTCATGAAGTTTTTGGAGCTCACGGAAGGGTGCTAAGCACAGAAAATCGTATTAAGTATTAATCAATCGAGGCGTAGCATGCTCAATAAATGACCATACTTGAATGAACATACAGTAGCAAAACCAGCGAATTCTTTGTTAATAAAAAAAAATACTTAAAGGGGCATTTGGATGAAAACACCCCGATTTTTGAAAGTCCAAATAATTGAAGTATTTGAAGATAATATGACTCAATTATGACTATGTAAATCAGATAAGTGAAAATGTTAGCCTGGGAGCCACCCACTGTTGAGATGTTTTGTGTTAAAAGAGAAAAGAACAATTCTTCGATTGCTCGTTACATCATCGCGGCCATGTTGGTACCATTTAACAAAAGATTTCTCATTAGCATCCATTGTTAATGGTACCACAATGGCCACCATGTTTTTGTCTTTTAACTCTCTTGGGAATATGYTTGCAACCCATCAATAGGGTTGAATAAATGACGTCGATCATTTACTCACAATTTAGATGCTGAATAAAATTGATAATTTTTTCCCGCCACTTTTGACTGTGAAGGAAACATTTTGCTTGGCTACTATCTGGGCCATATAGATAAGTTTAA